TACAAAAATTATGTCAACCTTGAAATATTTTTCTTCTTAGGGAAAACTATAGAAATTATATATATTATACCTTCAAATAAAAGTGACATTATCTTAAAAAGCTTATTATATGCCTTAGAATAACAAAGGCATCAAGAAATACTTAAAGCATGGTTAGTTCAATGACAGAGTTGAATCATGTGACAAGTTCATGTGTCATTCAATAGATGAAAGTCAACCATTTTGAAATGTTAAATTGACATTCAATAAATTTGGAGTTTAATGATCATTGAACTGTTCAATGAGAAAACAAGTTTTAATTTTTAAAAGTTTACAATAAATTACATTTAATAACATTTTATTGAACTTTGTAAAGTTCAATGCATTGTAGAGAAAAATATAATAGAATCTTATGATTGTAGAATGATAATGTGGCAATCCAGTAAACTTTATGAAATTAAATGCATTTTGGATGCCCTAAAGTGGTTACGTGACACATTACTGGAACCACAAATAATCAAAATCACCAAGGTCTTCTTGAAACTAGAATAAATTTCATTTGATTAATTGGAACTACACGTGTGTTCAATACTATTATAGTTTTTAATCAAACATAGATTGCAAAAAAATATGGAAAATATGGTCATTTTATATGATTAAAGGTTGATCCTTGTGAAACCAACAAAATGGTAATTTAGTAAAATCACAAACATAAAAAAAAAAAAAAACGGTCTTTGGCCTAACAGTAATGAGTGGGTCTCTCAAATTAGAGATTATGGGTTCAAGTCTCATTAGGAGATCATGGTTCTAAACATTGGCATCTTTAGTCATTCCACTTTTAATTATTCCAATTAGTCCGAAAATTAATTCGAATTAATTTGTAATTAATTTATTTTGATTTCTAACTAATTTATTAATCATGTAATAAATTAATAAACAAGTATCTCTCTCCAAATAACATTTCAGCCTCGTATTAAGTTTGAGGGCAACTCAAAAGGATTTTACAAATAATGTAAGTTTATAATAATTTAGTTAATGCCTTAAACACTTAATCCAATAGTCACCCACTTGGATAAGCATATAACTAAATTAAAACAGGCCCCGCCCTAACTCGCATAACAGGCCCCACCCTAACTCGTACAACGGGCCCGGTCCAATGAGTATAGTGGGCCTCGCCCTAAATCACATAATGGGCCCTGCCCAGTGAGTATAATGCGCCACGCCCTAACTCGCATAACAGATAATAGCATACAGTATAATAATCGGTCCCCGTCAGCATACATATAAACATATAATCATATAAACATAGAAACACATGCGAAAATCACAGAGGTAATAGCATACCACATAATGATCGGGCCTTACCAACTGAGTATAACAGGCCCTACCCTATGTCTTATAACGGTTCCTGTCTACATACAAATCATATACGTGCAAGATTCACGCAGACATCTAGCACCTTACATAACAACCCATGATTCGACATTGGTGTCTTCGACCCACTAAACATAGTGAGGAAACTCACCTCAATCCGTTAATAATCAAATAACTACTCGGACCGCCAAACTGGATAACCTCACGCCAACTAACAATAAATAAAATCTTCATCAATAATTAATCTGATAACCCGAAATACCCTTAAGTCAAACTTGGTCAACCTTGGTCAAAGTCAAAATCAACGGTCAAGGTCCAAAAGTCAATATTTCTTCCCAGTGGAGTACGTCGTGCGTACTAAGAGAGTACGCCCAACGTACCACCAGGTATGCCCAACATGCTCTATCTAGTCCCAAAACTCTATTAAGAGCTTATTCCATTAAGTTCTTACGTCCAAAACTCAGATCCAAACCTAAAATGATGTCCTAAGTCATAAAGTTTATGCATGACTATAAATTGCTTAATGTCCGAAACCCTAAGTTCTTAACCCAATAAGACATCACAACTGTTTCATGAAAGGGATGGAAGGGCCAAGATCACATTTGTATAGTTCATCATAGCTATATATATCAACTTTATCCATTAGAACGTCCCAATAGACAAGATTAAGTTTTTCAATCTCAAAGGGACCCAAAAGTTCATCCTTTTCAACTTAATCTATTAAGTACAAGTCTCCAACTTTCATATCTGAATCAAAATGATATTTAGATGGATAAAGTTTCCAACTTTATACATAAAAAGGTTACAAACATTCAAGATCTAAACTTTATGCACTAAAATAACCAAAAGATCATAACATCCAAAACTAGTTAGATCTAACAAATGCATCATCAAGATTTAAAAGTTTATACCTCTAGAAGATAGATTAAGGTGAAGAAAGTCTAGATCTACAAGCTCCAATACAACCAAAATTTCTCCAAGATGTTCCTTATTATCCAAGGTGCACCATGCATACTCTAAAGCACTCAAAAACACCCTCACGGAAGGGGTGTTGGAGGGATGGAGGTTGAAAATGGAGTAGGTTTGGGGGAGTTAAGGAGCATAAATAAGGCTTAAACCACGAAAATATGGTTTAGGCACTGATTACGTACGCCCAACATACTTCTGGTACACCTAACGTACTCAGGGTGCCTCAGTACATCCAACGTACTTCCCTCTATACGCCCAGCGTACTCATCATAACCCAAAACCGACCAAACTTCAAATAGGCATAACTTCTTCATTCTAAGTTTGATTTTGTGACAACCCGTTAATTTCAATCTTGTAAAAGTCAATCTTGGGTCAACTAAAGTCAAACTTCTTAGTTTGGTCTATCTTATTAAGTTATATTTAAAATCTATATGTCTTTAAACCTTTTATTAGAAGTGTTACAAAAATTTGAATTGAAATGCTTAAATCTGATAACCCTCGCATGACTTAAATACTTCGGACTGTAAATGCTTCGTAGTCGGAAATCATGTTTGGCCATAAACCCTTCCAACCGCAAACCCTCGGTTCGTAACCGCAAACCCTCGATCTTATCCTCTCTGTACGCAAACCAAGGAACATGTTCCATCACGATTTCGGCCTTACACTTATGGGGGGACCGAAAGCACTTCCTCACTTGTACACTTCTAACTAATAATACAACTTTTGCTTACAAGATCCTCAAACGAAAACCCCGTATTCTCTCTCAAGTATCATCCGAAAATGCCTTGAATCTCCTTCGGATCTTTCTTAGAACATCAAGTGTTCTTCATTTCATCAAGATATCACCTTCCTTTTTGGTGATCTTCAACCGAAAACCTTTGAATCTCCTTGGTTTTACCAAGAACACCAAGATCTTCATATAGCCGAAACCCCAAGGGCTGGCCAAAAACACATAGCAGCCGTCCAAAATAGCTTCTAAAACCTTACAAATCAGTATATTTTCTTATCATACTTGTGGTTATACTCACTAATAGTCTACATATATATTACGTGAAATGCTTTTAGGACTCGATTTTGTCTCCAACTCTAACTTGTAAAAAAACATCCTATGTCGCACCTTCAATTGAATCACTCACATAAGGTGAGTTCATACCCCTACAATTTACCTTTTTCAATGTTTTTAGGGGAATACAAGAAAAACACAATAAAAGTGTGTTAACACTTACTTATGAAAACAAACAAACAAAGGAATACTTATGCTTATAAATACTGTTAAAATCATTTGAAAACTCTTTTAAACTATTTTAGATTTCTATTTATATCAAAATCGTATTCATTTGTATATTTATGTATAATCATGCTTTAACGGACTTAGGACTATTGCTAATACCATAACTCCTGCTCCTTGTTTGGTTGTGGGCCTAAGGTAGGATCACTAGTCTGACTATCGGCTAAATCATAATTATACAAGCTAATTATATACATGAATATTAAATCTCATTTTCAAGAACATACATAACTCAATTGCATATGCTGGGAAAATGAGTCTTTTCTCCATATCATTTACAGTTTAAACAAACATACTAGTAAACTATAATATGTATAGTTTAGAGAATCAATTCATACTATTTTCTAGATCAGAGAAACAATACATGAATCAATACATACATACTATTACTTTTCATTACAAAGTACACCATTCATTTACAAGAACAAGAAACATATACATATTATACGCAAACAAGTTAACTAGAATGTGATATACTTTTTCATGATACTCAACAAGATTATTGCTAAGTCATGTTTTATAACCAGAGTCTCCTAGATGGAGACACTACTAGAAAAACAGCCTTTTACGATGCTCATTACGTGTCGTGAAAGGATTAGACGACGTGCAAATGCGCGTCAAGGAAAGCCCTGTCATAAAGAGAGACGACGCGCTTTTGCGCGTCGTCTATTTACGACGAGCATTTACGATGCTCATTTATAACGTGCAATTACGACGCGCGTTTACGACACGCAATGCGTATCAAGGAAAGCCCTGTCATAAAGGAAGACGAAACACATTCGTGTTTCGTAACCTTACGACGCGCGTGTTAATGACACGCAATGCGTATCAAGAATGCCGCTGTCAAGAAAGGCTATGTCATAAATAAAGATGACACACATTTTTGCGTATCGTAATTTTAAATGTTTAAAAAAATGTTATTTATAGATTTACCAATTTTCAAATTAAATTTGTATTTAATGTCTAATAATAGAAAATAAAATATCATATACAAAAAATACAATCCATTGCATAAAATTTAATGTCATACAAATAATCGTTCCATGAAAAGATAACACAAATCAATAGAAATTGTAGCAAAAATTTACAAACTAATTAGATACAAAAAATACAATCCATTGCCCCTTTGCTTATTCAAGATCAACCTACAAGTAGGTAACTAATCTTTAAAAATTCACCCTTGTTCTAATCATTTTCTTAAATACTTTATAAACATAATTTATCCATAGTACCTTGACTATAGTTGCATCCTTGTTTCTTCTTCTTCTTCTAAACTCATCTCTGGCAACCATTTCTTTAAGCCTAGTCTGAATAGATACAACAACTCCTTATCACTTATGTGAAAAAGACAAACAGAGTGGCATACCTTCATAATAGCAACATCATACCTTCATAATAGCAACAGTAAATTACTAGTTTGCCCATCCATCCAAAACGACTACACAAAACAATACACATGTTTCAGATGGCAACAGAGGGGGTCCTATTTTAGTCTTTTTAACAAAGTGATGATATTGAATTTATACCAGTGTAGAAGGTTTATGTAGACCAACATTAAGAGCTGGAAAATACGTCCATTCACCAGATTCCACCTCAACGTTTGAATCCTGAACAATTGAGAAATTTAGATATTTACGAACATAAATAAAAATAAAAAATAAAAATACAAGCAATTTACATGAGAGGAAGATTGATGTCGATTATGCCATTCAGACCACTTCTGTAATAAATCCTCAAGCTTCTGTTTACTCTCTCTGAGACAAACATGTTATACACTTAAAACTTTATATAGAAATATCTTTAACCAATGTATATAGAAATGTGTGGTGTTTAAATAATTTTAGAATATAAACATGTAATTATGAAGCATTAAACAATATTGTGTTTTTCCTTTATACCTTTTAAAAGATATATAAATGCTTTCTTTTGCAACTTTAGTTCCTTAGATATCAGCCTACATTTTCAATCTCAAAATAAAAAACATGTAAATAAATTACATTAAAAATAATTAAATGATCATAAAAAAAATCTTTAATTATTACCTCATGTAGAGTAGGGTCCAGTAACAGCAACAACATGTCCTCCAGTTGTCCAGGTGAAAAGAAAGCTGCCATTCCATGCATTGACTGAAAAGCAACCTGTCTCTGGCAACTAACCCAAAGTTGATTGTATTGTTCATTGCGTTCTCTAAGTTTAGCTTGCAATTAGTGATTTGTATTTGACTGCAAGGCATCCATCTCCTGAACACGTGCTATAATTTTCTATTATTTGTTAGCTAGTAAGCATATGTCATTATTCTATTGTTTTACCCTTTAGCAATGCCACCATATGGATCATCAATGCCTTCTGGTACACTCTTTTTTCTTTTGTTTCGGTATATATAAAACATGGGTATTTTGGTCTTTTAATAAAAAAATGAAGAAAAAGATATAGAACCAAACCTGTTAAGTTACTATTATTATTGATCTGTTAAATGTGATCTATTGTAGTATTGTGCTAGGCCCATTCATGGGACAACCACCTCCAAACATCCCGTCACAACCTCAATCCAGGAATTTGATGGAAAAAAACAGTATACTTAGCAATCATAAGTTGACTCTGATTGTACAAATTACAAATTGGTAAATCATTGCAAGTCGATGAAATCTGATGCCTGTAATTGTATTATGAATCGATGGAATAAAATATCGACTGACCTGAGTTACGAGTATGGATTTTTGTAAAACTTTTACGAGAAATCTCCTTTTATAATGAGGGTAAACGAACTAGGATCCCCAAATTTCATCTCTTGAATAAGTAATTGATGTTAGCAGTGATTCATGATTAATTAATAACTTATATTTCATCTCCTGAATAAGTAATTAATAACTTATATTTCACAAGTTCTGGATATATAGAAGGAAGGTTAAAAGGAAAGCTTGGCCATATTCAGGGGTATTTTTGGTAACTAATCGTCACCATAGTGAATTTATGGTAAAAAATGACAACTTATATTTCACAAGCTCTACACAATGTTCTAATGTTCCTGGTCATGGCCATGTCCATTTTACTCCAAGAGGGTATTACTGTAATTTTGTGCAACATCATTAAAAGTGGACACTTTAATTAATTAAAAAAAACATTTAACAGAAGGCCACAAACCTGGAATGACAATGTTAGAGGCAATTTTAAAGAATGAGATTTCATTGACTCATTAAGTAGACTATTGACTGCTAATGGCCCAGTTATAGCCTTCAGGTAGAGAAGAAATGAAGTCATGAGCATAGGCTTGTTTGGCTGCATCCGCCCATCCTTTGTTCCTTAATTTGCCCACTATATAACATCATCTAATATGATTAAAAACAAAAACAATTATTATATTTAAGAATGATTATTAATTAGATATATAAGTACAAGTCTATGACAAGGGTAGTTCTCTCTTTTATATGCCTTATGTATTTGTCTAGTAATGTGTGTTCTAATGAACTTATGTACAGGAGGGATGACATACCTGTGCAGAACCCATATCAAATATGTTCCCTGCAAATATTCCTCTGATCAAATTGAATGATGTAAATATGATACAGATGCACACAACACATATAATTGGTTTTAGGGATACCTGGTTGTGGGTTTCAGCACAACGAGGGACTACAATTCATGTGTATAATTTTGATAGTTTAACAACAGCTACTGCATGCTGTTAATTTCCACGCCCATTATGTTTTCCACGTTTCCCTAAGATACAAAATTTTAAAAAAAAAGGGTAAATTAGCATTTTCATATCACTTTTGTAACAAAATGTATCACGAGAACCAAATATGCAAGAAAGTAAAACCAGAAGGAAAAATAAATAAAGATTTCCATAGTTGTGCTCCCATACCATTTCTTGCAAATTACAGGGAGCAAAACTGTAATTTTGTCATGAAAAAAAGTAAATCAAAACCCTCTCCATATATAACATTTTAGGTCTAAATAAAATCAAAACAAACCAGCTAATAGAGAATTTATTAATTTGCTAATTGAACATGTAGTTGATGTGGATAAAAACATGATCAGAACATGCATATTCATAAGTAATTAAGTAAACCGAGTATTAAGTAAACACACCCACAATAAAAGAAGAAAAAGAAGAAAAAAAATATCAGTGTTTCTAACAAACAAGAAACTGACCTACTGCATTGCTGACAAAATCGTCTTCTGCCACTCTTCCCTTCCCATATTTCCAAATCGTCTTCTGTTATAGGGTACACTTGACCTCCAAGATTTAAGTTAAGACCTCCAACTTCATCATCATCAAGAATCACGTGATTCTTGTTATAATTAGAAATAGAAATATTACTTTATTAACAATAGTTATAATTTATACACATGAATAAAAGAAACACGGATGATTTTTATTTAGCTCAGTTTCACAAGGCAAATTGAAGTTTTCAAACTATGATCTGCATCAGGCAGAAAAAAAATAAAAATAAACCACAAAGCTAAAACAATCGAGAATTGAAGTACCTCTAATTTAGCACCAGTGTGTTTCTCAGCAGCATCTGAAGCTTCTAGCACCTCAATGGCTGCATCTGAAGATTTGGAGTATATCATTCGCAAAGGCGTCGCTCGCTAGGGTAAAAAACTCGAACAACCATGTTAATTACTTTGACCCATTTCTCGATTTCAACATCATTGTCGGTGTCTTCTAGAGGTTTACTTGAATTCTATAACCCTAAAAAACCTAATCTTGAGAGGCTTTCTTCTAAAAACTCCCTCTGGTAGGTGCTGTAAGCAAGCGAGCATTCTTTTCCGTAGCCGACAGTGACCATCCTTTTTGCGATTTCGTGCAGATTGTTGATTATACTAGACGGAAGTGCCTCGATCCTGATGTTATAGTCTGACATCGGATGATCCACCAGAATCTCCACATCATCGAATCTGTCATCTTCATCATCATCAGAATCTAAGTAACCACCAACACCACCTCCAACAGCGTTATCGGAAGATTCAGCACCGCCACGTCCGATTAAGTTGCAAAGCTCTTAATCTCCTTGTAAGTGTGACATAGGTATAATGTAACGAGCCCTAAATCATATTCTTGTGAGCGTGAGGAGTCGGAGGTAAGAGGTCTCACCTCGGTGAGGTGAGATGAACTCAAGGTTGCCAGTGGGAAGAGTTGAGCGGAGGTCTCCGGAGGTAAGAGGTGAGCAGAAGTGAGCAGATGTAGCGATCCTTTTGAAAAACCCTAAATCCCTTACGATTTTATTATAAGATGAACAGTACACGTAGTCTGAGGCCAGAGGAGGCAACGAGGATTGGAGGCGGTGAATGTGGGTGAGGGTCGGGGTTGGGGTGGAGACGAGGGAGAAGAAGCAGGGGTTTAAAAAATTTGGGGATTTCATTTTCCCTCTAAAGGGAGACGCGTGCTTCTAAAAAAAATATAAAGCGACATTCATAGAGGACGCACGTTTTAGATAAAGTGCCCTCCGTGTTTTTTTTTTTTTTTTTACAATAGACACTAATTAAAGGGCACGCAATAATGCGTGACTTAAATCTTTAATTTTTTTTGAAGAGATGACACTTTTTAATGTCACTCTCTTTTGCGTAACATAAATCAACGAGTGTCGTGGTTTGCGCGTCGTAAAAAGGCTATTTTTCTTGTAGTAAGAGGTTGAGTTTGTGTAGAGATCTATACAGGATTGACAATCCCACACCTTGCTATTAGCTACTATTGGGACCGACAAGTCTACGGGTGACAAATGTCATTTCTTTTTCGACGTATGAAGAATGTCGTGTTTTATACTAGTCAATTATGTATGATTATAACCTCTTTCACATTAAGCATTTGCTAAACAATTCGGTTTACAAGATAAACATTTCTTCAGTAGTTTTACTTTAAACAAAACTACTAAAAGATATTATCTTCCATTCAATACATACAGTGATGTTCACACATGAAGAAGGCATACTATTTTTCTAATAAAGATAGTTTACAAATATGGAAAACATACATTTATACTATTTTCGGTACAAACATACATTTATACTATTTGTAAAGTACCAAATCCAAGGAACCAAACTAGTGATCAAACAATGAACAATCAAGCAAACACAAGAATGGAGTAGAAGAAGGAATTAATCAAGCAATGCACACGATTTTATAGTAGGGCCGTAAACCGTCTGGTACACCTTGAAAAACACATACAACTAACGTCACTATGTACTAACAAGACATACCCTATATATATGACACGATTAACCGCACACGGGTTCACGGCCGTGAACATGTTCTCAGCCGTGAACACCAAACAATAGTGAAAAATCTGACCGCAAACACCAAATTCAACCAAAACCTTACCATGACCTATACAAATAGTTGCCTAGCCCAAACCACAAAATTATGACCTAACAATCTTCGCCTTGGTTTGGGACTAGCATTTACTCAGGTCTTCTTGATCAACATCATATCCGTTTTTTTCATAGCCCCCGACCATGACCTCTTTTCAGTGATTGTCACAGCCATACTTGTAAATTCTTTGGCTGCCGGCTCCAGAAGCTCCGATTTAGAGTATATTTGATGACTAGCCAATGTGTGTATATCTTGATCCCTGAACCGTAAAAGATCTTTCGCATCAACCAGACGAAGAACGCTATTTGGAAATTTGATCGTTGTTGTGGATGTGACCTCATCGAAAGCCTAAAATTCCATAGATTCTAGGTATCATTCATGAAAGTATTGGGGAATAGGAATTTCTTACAATTTTTTCGTGGGAGGTCACATCACAATCTTCATTGTTTTTGTAGTTTGAGGATCGAGCACATACGAGTCTCTTCTAATAAGCGATTCTGCAGTTTTCATTCCAACAAACTTTGCCTTGACTTGCCTCTGCAGAAACCGTTTGAAATCAAAGGCCTTAGGGTCGCGAGAAGGATTGTGGAACGGAGCTTCGGAGATTTCTGTGAGATCGAATTTCATCCGAGAACAAAAATCATGAGTATCCTTGTAATATTCCAGGTTGCCAATCTTCCTTTTCACCACCCATATATTTAATTCATCATGAAATGCCCACATTTTGATTCCCAATCGATTGCAAAATTTTTCGCCGAACCACCATTTCATAAGATCGGTTACTGTAAGTTGGGCTGGTCTCCATCATGGTTCTCATCAGAATTCTTCATGAAGAGCCATCCCTCTTTCTTCTGAGATGTAACCTTCCATTTAGCTTGCCTGATAGTTATTCGTGGATTTGCTTGGGCAGGTTCCTTTTCAAATCGATTGACAATCCTTGAGGTTCTGACAGGTGGTGGATCGACAATGTTAGGTTGGACATGGAAACTAGGAGGTCAGAGACCTGTTTTGCAATAAGCTTCTTTTTTAAGTCAAAGTAGCCTACTGATATGGCACCAAGATTAAGCTGGAGGTCAGAGATCTATTTAGCCTTCTGAGAGTTTTCTAGATGGAGGTCAGAGATCTGATCAGTCTTCTGAGAGTTTTCTACTTTGAGCTTTGAAACTGAAATATTGAGATTCCCAATCCAAAGGTCTTTTTCAATGATTTTCTGTTTAAGGATAGTGATCTCCTCCCCTAGCTTTGGATCTGATGGGTCCAATCCCCCTGAGCTGCCTCCCCTAGTAGATATACCTTTTCCGCGAGCAGGAAGATATGAGTCTTGTTCTGCCAAGAACCTGGCGAGCCTTACAGAGGCTACGTCATGCACAGGCCTTATAGGCAAGGAATCCCCATGAGTTGAAGAGCTCCCAACTTCAAATGAAGATCAAACACCACTAGGTTCTTCTTGGGTTGGTATTGAAGGTGTAGTGGCTGTTGTTGCAGGCTATTGGTGGGGCCTAATCTCTAATAAGCAATCTCGGCCTCAGGTCAAATCGTCTTCTTTTCAACGGAGGCTGGGAGGCTAGGGTCATCACAGAATCACGCTCTGACGACATAGACATTGGAGTGACAACAGGAAGGGGATGAATCCTTATGGTTGCATCTATATCAACGGTAATACCAACCATCTGAACTGAAGTAGGAGGCATTTCTTTGTTCACATCAACAGCTCCCTCTATCTTCATTCGTGGCTATGCAACTTCATTGACATTATCAAAGAAGGAGTGGAGCTCCTCAAGAATTCGGCAGTAATCATTATTGCTCTTTTCAAAATCATAAATCGTGTCCTTATCGAAACCAGACATGTCACCACCAAAAATCGTATCATCATCATTAAAATCCTCATGATCATTATCATAATCATCATCACCCTCTGCATTGTAATCTCTCTCAACTTCCACATCTGTCATTTGATCATGTTCCTCTGCCATGCAACAGGAGGAACTATTTCTTCTTAATGCTCTAAGGCTATGATCACATCGTCCTTACTCTCCATAAGATCAGAAGAATCGTTAGACCCGGATGCATCACTCAATTCTACAAACTACCCGAACTTCACAAGCAAATACTTCCCCTCAAATATAAACTTTCCCTTTTGGTTCTGTTTCATGAGGCCGGGGGTGTTGAGCCTAAGAGATTTAACATCAAGGGTTTCTCCACGTCAACCAAGAAAGCTAGGCAACACTTCCTCACTCCATGGACCATAAACTTGAATTCACTGTGGGTTGTCGGTGGATCAACCAAGAAAATGGAGAGGTTGTGAATGTCAGTAAATTTCAAATCAACCATTTTTTATCTGCACCAAGCCAAGTGGGCATAATATAATCAATTTGCAAGTTTGGTTTTCCCAGTAAAAATTTATTAGGCTTTAATCTTGAATTAATTTTGAGGGAAAATGAGTTTAAGGAAAACTGTGGTTTACGGCCGTGGACACGTTAACGGCCGTGAACCCTTCAAAAGACGTGAATGGTCCACAGATGCCAATAATCAAACTCAGTTCAATAATCCTTGAAAACACGGTCGATTTCTGATAATTTTAGCATGAGTGTGATCGATTATGTTGTACCTACACAGAGCAAGAATCAATTTTGGGTGAAAAACACTTTGAGATGACGAATCGAAATGAACTATAGAGAGAGTATTTGTTCGGGGTTCATGGCCGTGATCAATCAAATGAGTGTGAAAGGGTTCACAGCCGTGAATCTCACCATCTATATCTTGGATCCCATACCCGGTCCATCACCCTTGGATAGCAAGCCAAAAATGCTTCAAATCCAAGCCCAAAAAATCCAATTTATTTAAAAATAATACATTTTGAAGACTTCAAAATTAAAATAAAATAAAATAAAATCTAAAAAATTTAAACTAAAGTTTTCGTTTGTTTTTGTTTTTGTTTTTGTTTTTTTTTTAACTTTTAGAAAATAAAATAAAATGCAAATAAAAATAACACTAAAAAATTTTCACCACTACTAATAATATTTTTGTGATATTGGGATCAAAGTTTTTAGACAGCCTCAATCCGTTTATCGGTACCTCCTCTTTCATGAATAGATTTGGTCAATCGTCGGTATTGTGGTCCACTTAAGCATGGAAGACTGTGACAGATTTAGGACATACTACAAATAACAAGACATTGTGACTTTACGTTCCTAGACATAATTCCTAAGGACCATTCATTTGACGACGACCAAGTATATTGTTGTCCACCTAAATTGAGCAGCGAGATCACAAACAACTTATTAATGGTTCAATTTTAGATGTACTAGAACATGTTTCCTGCTTCCTGATATACCCCGATAATCAAGAACTTCTGAGATACTCATTACTTTAGGTGATCAAACAATTATTAGGAGAGAAGATAGATTTAGACTGCATATATTAAACACCCAGGTCAGATCTCTTCCAAGCACGCAGAGGGGTTAACATATAACTAACCAGAAGTAGAGGGTTGAGATGTAGAATGGTGCACATGTTGTGTTTCAGGTCGGATCTATTTCAATCACACAAAGGAGACATCACATGGCCAACAGGCAAAAAGAATTACATAAATAGGAGATGCAAAGAAATAGAATTGCCTATGTTGCAGTCCAGGTCGGATATGTTCAAATCACACACAAGGTGCTACATATGACTGATAGTAAGAAAGAAAAATAATAATTTTTTACAGACCTACATTATCGGAATTCCCCAGTCCCCTATCAATACTGGAATTAAGGATATGAGTCCATACATCAAGGAAAAGTTAAACCACAGTTCTAGATATAGATTCCTTTAATGTTTTCGACAGATTCTCATGTTTATCTCCCTACTCAATCTACCCGAGCATCGTATTGTCAGGCTAAATGAAACTATCTAAGTCAAGATTTGTCAAGTCATTTGATTCCTTAAGTTCATCTATGCCTAGTCAAGTCCATATAATATTTCGTGCATACCAACGCTTTAAACACAGAGCCTAGATAGTTCAGCATTGGTACCTTACATAAAAGATGATTGCTTGTTATCACTTGTTGATATCACTTCCCATCACAACACCTACATACCAACTATTTTTGATTTTCTAATTTTTTTGATTTTTATATTTTTGAATTTTATGATTTTTGTTTTGTTTTTGTTTATTTCTCACCCTAAATTTGAGCATAGGAGAGAATGGGAATTAAATGTGAAAATTTAAACTATCCCAAAACAAAAAATCAGTCTTCAATACAGATCATTTTCAAAAAGTCCACAAGCACATTGAATTGAGCTTTGTCAACCGGTTTTGTGAAAAAATCCGCCATATTGTTATTAGTGGGGCTCTGTTCCAATGGAATGATCAAACGCTCAAAAAAATCTTTGATAAAATGCACTTTGAAATCGATGTGCTTGGTTTTTGAATGTTGGACTGGATTTTTAGCAATTTGAATTGCAGCATCGTTATCACAAAAGATGGGAGATTGTAAAAAATTCAAACCGTAGTTCAATAATTGATGTTGAATCCATATGAATTGAGTACAAGAAGCAGAAGCAGCAACATATTCCACCTCCGCCATTGAGGTAGACACTGTTTGTTGTTTCTTACACTGTCAAGACACCATCCAGTCACAAAGAAGTTGACAGCCCCTAGAGATTGATTTCCTATCAAGTCCACACCCTCCATAATTGCTGTCAGTGAAATCATATAAATCAAAATCATAATTTTTCGGGTACCAAAGACCTAAATTTAGGCTACCTTTGAGATACCGAAAAATTCTTTTGAATGCAATTAAATAAGAGAGTTTAGGATTAGCCTGATATCTAGCGCATTGACAGACTGAGAACATGATGTCTGGCCTGCTCGCAGTCAGATACATCAAGGATCCGATCATCAATCTGTATTCAGTCTGATCTACGGATTCACCTTCAGGATCTGGAGTCAGCATGGGTCGTTCAGCCATCGGCGTTAAGGTAGTTTTGGCATCCTTAAACCCATACTTGTCAAGCATATCATCGACATTTTCCCTGGTGGAGTAGGATTCCAGTTGAACTTTGATGTACTTGTAAACCTAAAACATCTTCATCTCCCCTAATGAACTCATCTCGAACCGCTTCTTCATCACAGTCTAGAATTCCATGTAAAGCTTTCGACACGTCGACCCGAATATTATGTCGTCGACATAGATTTGCACCTAAATAAGATTGGCATCAACATGCTTTATGAATAGGGTTTGATCAATCATTCACCGTGTATATTCGTGCGCGAGCAACTACTCTATATAGGGTTGCATACCAGGCTCTGGGAGCTTGACGTAACTCGTAAAGAGCCTTGTCCAACTTGTAGATGTGATTCGGAAACTTGGATTCGACAAACCCAGGAGGTTGATCAACATAGATTTCATCCTTCACCGCGCCATACAAGAAGGCAGTATTGACTTCCATTTGGTAAATCGTGAAGTTCATGTAGGAAACATCCGCAAGGAAAATGCGAATTGACTCCAAGTAAGCAACCAGAGCATAAACCTCAGTGTAATCTAGACCCTCTATCTGCCGGAATCCACGGACGACCAACTGAATCACCTTGCTTCTTCCGAAAGACCCAACATGTGTCAAGAGACTTCTTGCCATTTGACAACTTAACCAACTCCCAAACCCCGAGTTTCTCAAACTGATTTAACTCCTCATGCATTGCATCAACCCAGTTGGGTTTATTTAATGCAATTTAGACGTTCTTCAGCTAGATCTGAGAGATAAAGTAGGAGTAGAGACATGTGTTGACGTCTCCACTATGACTTCTCATTATGACACCATCTCCCAGTGGCCCAATGATGTTCTCAATCGGATGATCAAGTTGAATTCTTGAGGGGTTCTCATGCCTGATATGATTGATCGAGATAGGAAGGTTATAGATGTTTACAAATCTATCATTTGCTGAATGATCCGTATCAAATGATTTGGGACCATCAGAGGGGCTTTCCACATGCTCGTTTGCTATCGGTTCAAGAAAGAGAAGTTCCATGAAAGTTTGAGTTTCAATGGAAGTATCTTTGGTCATGAACTCTCTTTCGGCGGGAGTGAGTGGAGTACCATTAGCATTTGGATTTAGTTGATGGCTCGGTGATTCGGAGGATGTACTTGGAACATATGTAACCATCATAGGAGCCTTAGAGGGCACGACATGTGATCTGTACACAACATCCTCCTCTTCATCATCAAGAATATCCTTCGAACCTGAGCATGTACCTGACACAACATCCGAAAACACATCAAATGATTTAAATAGAGAAGCGCAATCAAATAACCAGTCAGGACCGACTTGGGCAGCAGTTTCATTCTCCTCCAGCCAACGCACCCTACAGTATTCTACAATTTGTTTTATTCTTTTGTTATAGACCCTATATGCTGTACGTGTAGTGTATCCCATGAAGTACCAGTCATCGACCTTCGAGTTGAACTTCGGGTTGGAATCTAAGTGAAGTAGGGTGCAAGGACATCCAAGGATATGGAAGTGAGGAACCAATGGCTTGTGACCATATAGAATTTCATAGGGGGTCTTCATATGAGCTTTGTTGACCAGGACCCGGTTCTGAACATAGCAGGCCGTGTTGATCGCCTCAGCCCAAAAGAAGACTGGAAGTTTGAAGTCACAAATATGATTCATGTCTATGATGTAAGCATTCCCTTCTCTTTTTGACTTTACTAGGATTCATTCTTTAGGTATAACAATGCCCGAATTCAAAATCAGACATTCTTTATCAATAAAGTGAGTGGAGTAGTTGTTGTCACATATTTGAGAGATTCTCAACAAACTATACTTCAACTCGGGAGCGTAGTTGATGTTTTCAAAGGTTAGCACTCCATTGGCAATGGTTCCTTTTTGTGTGATCTTTCCTCCATCCCCTCCTGCAAAGGAAACAAATCCCCCGTTAAAATTTTGAACGTCATGCAATTGGGTAACATCTACTGTCATGTGCCGGGAACAACCGTTGTGAACGTACCAAGGTTTGACGACATTCCTCCGCAGCTTTTCCTGCGCAATGCGCGAGATTAATGAGATTTAGGGACCCAGGTCATTACAACCCTGGGTTTACCATTGACATTAACAGTTTTTTCTTTTTCACTTTTTGATTTTTAATTACTATTAGATGCACTGTTAGAAGATGAAGATAATTGGCCAATTGAAGATTTAGGCACCCACTGGTAATTAGGTTTTGAAATATTACAAGTGATTTTGAAATATTTTTTTTTGTTTTGAGCGTTTGGGTTTTAGGCTAGGATTAGTCGAGGATCCATACATTGTCTTTGACGAAATCGATCTTGGCTAAGACGCATTTTATCTTGTCAAAATACCTGTGCCTTTTTGATCAAAAACATGTTATGAACATTCCAATCATCATCTCGAAGACAAAATCTCAAGGACTATCTCCTCAGAGACCTTCCTCGAGACTCATTTTCTCTTCTTGGTGTAGAAAAATGTACAAATACCCTATTAGGACAATTACGAGCAATATGGTTAGCAGTTCCACAGTTAAAACATATTTTCTTTTTATCATGAAAAATGGTACTGCCTTTTTCTATTTTTGTCCTCTTATTGACTCTTCTAACTTTTCCACATGGATAAGTGCAAGAGTCAGGTTGTGTGACAGGTGTAGATGGAGTGGATGTGCTAGTGTCAGATTTAGCAGTTTTAACAAAGGCAACATCACATTTAACAGAAACATTAGACTTAGATACCAAATCATCACGAATCAAAATATTAGTTTTAACAACAGACACCAAATCAACACTGTTCAAAATAGAAACATCAAATTTTGACACAAATTTATTTTCAGACTCAATCTTTCTATCCTCTTGATATCCCTGACTTACTGACAAACCTGCAAAGGAAGTAGAAAAGTTAGTATCTATTTCCTAGCACTACATTTTATCGCATGTGCAGCTGGTTTACCATACAACATAAATGGTTCTCGGTGATCAATCTCCCCCTGAGTCAAAGGTTTAGTAATATAATTGTGATTGAATGGGGGAGGAACACTACTAGAAAACCAACCTTTTATGATGTGCAATGCGTGTTGTAAAATGCTCAGACAACGCACAAATACGTGTCAAGGAAGGCTCTGTCATAACGAGAGACGACACGCTATTGTGCGTCGAGTATTTACGACGCGCATTTATGACATGCATTTATGACGCGCAGTTATGACATACAATGCGTATCAATGAAGGCCCTGTCATAAAGGAAGACGACACACATTTACGACGTGCATGTTTATGACATGCAATGCGTATCAAGAAAGCCCCTGTCATAAAGGAAGACGACACTCATTTTTGCGTGTCATAATTTTAAATGTTTTTAAAATTATATATTTTAAATGTTTTTAAAATTATATATTTTTGATAGATTTACTAATTTTCAAATTAAATAACACATTAAAAGTCTCATAATACAAAATAAAATACTATAAACAATAAATATAATTCATTGCAGTAATATGTCAAATACAAATAATCATTCCAATAGTAAGTAAATGTAACACATTGCTAATATTGCATTAATATTTATTATATAAAATAGAACATGTTCAACATTAAAAGAAACCCATGACTAAATTATCCTTTGACAATCTCCTTTGACAATCTCCTTTCTAAATGAAAAACCTAAATGCAGGAACTTTGAGAGGCTGTAGGGCATGGAAGGAGGTTGCTAGAGCTGTCAGAACCTGCACATAGCAAATGGTAATTTAACATGCAATACAATACAAGATGATATGATATGATAGAGCTTGTTGGTTCATCAAATGCAAGTATTCTACAGTTAAGGCAAAAGGTTTCTGCTAATTCCAATCTAATGATAAGTGAAGCAAGCACCTAAGATCAATTGACAATGGATTTGTGAAATTCCTTCAACCCAAAATACAATGGGAATGGGTAATTAGAGATGATGGCAAACCTTTTGACCTACACTACACCTTCCTCGCATTTCAAGCTCAGCATCACCAGCTTGCATAACAACCTGAATTTACAATTAACCATAAACATTAGGGTTGGGTTAAAATGTGAGCTGTTATCCTCAATTATTTACTTTGTGCAGTGTGCAGGCTTGATGTTGGGTTTTTTTTTTGTTTTTTTTTTTTGTAAAAATCAGAAAACAAAAAACCAATAAAATTAAAAAATGAAAAAATGAATCATCACCTTTAATGGATCTGGCACAAGGCTCTGAACAGGGATATCTGAAAGTTCAAGATTTAAACCACGTTCTCTAGCAAGAATTATCACCTGCAATATTGATTCACCATACTAATTTATAATTTAAAATTTAAAATACCAGATTTTTATTTATATATTTGTATAGAAAATAAAAATAAAAATAAAAATAAAACTTTTGGGCTACATCTGTCCCAGCAAGATCATCCCTGGGTTCTGTCATAGTGTAACCTGCTGCTTTTGCCTCCATCACTACTTCACTAAAGGCTCTTGCATCAACAAATTTGTTGAATATATAACTCAATGTCCCACTACAATCACATTAATAAATCTTTCACTTACGATTTTAAGTATAACGGGGGGTATAATGGACTTTTAACATATAAATAAGGGAATTGACCTGAAAATTCCTTCAATGAGTACTCAGTATTTTGATGTTGCTAACATATAAACATCCTGTTGAATATATAACTCAATGTCCCACACCCACATGTCATGCTTTTAAAATGGTTTTGGTGATATACCAGATTTATTATATTGTAAATATGTAGGTTCTTAAGAGATAAGTAAAATAGGAATGAGTACAGAAACTGAGAATAAACATAACTTAAACAATGCTTTTAGTGTTTTCAAAAAAATTAAAAAAAAAAGTTACCCTTCACGTTGTGGCTAGATAGAAGGCAAACTTGTCCTTAAATTGGCTTTAGGTCTTTGCTGTGTTGTATTAGGAACTGGTTTTGATCCCACTTGCATCCTTTTTTTATAAGACTTATATCTATTATCATCTTTCCTCATTGTTTCGACAGCTATAACTTGGTCTTTAATAACTATAACTTGGTGGAGATGCACTCCCCACATAAGAGTAGGTAGTCCCTTGCATGTGGTGTGCACTATTTCAGTACAGAGATCCCATTAAAAAGTCGCTCCAATTTTTCTAAGTGGTCTATAGGAAAGAACAATTAACATCTGCAATATAGGCATGTGATATGACTACATAAATTAGCAGTTAAAATCATAAACTTAAATGATGATCTGTTCATCTTTATATAGAAAAAACTATGGTAGCTATTTAAGGTATGTTATGCTTTATAAAGAGGCCAAAAACTCCTCAAGTAGACAGTAATTAAAACAAGTCAAGAGTAATTTAGTACATTGAATCATAAAATAAGATCAAACTTACCTTGAATGAGTTTTTTTCTAATCCAAGCTCTTCCACTATTTTGAGAATATAAAGTGATACATGTTGGTTCAGGCCCTGCACTCACCCTTTTAAAACTAATCAAAACAGCGATTTCTGTATATATTACCTTTGAAAGAGACTAAGTACACACCCTTAAAACAAAAAAACAAACTAACCTATTTATAGACTATAAAGTAACTTGTTGGTTCTTGCCTGCCATTTCTTGCTGCTTGCTTTGCTTCTGCTATTCTTTCTTCTAATCACCAAACATGATCAGCTTTCCTACTTGCTTTTATTCTTTCTTTTGATCACCAAACTTGATTGGACTTGATACTTGCATTCTTGCTGCATACTTTCTTTCTCTCTACATGCTTGCTATCTTTGGGATCACACCAACACAACCGAACTATCAACACCACTGTGAGCTGGAACTCGGATTCTGCACTCAACTTCTTCCAACTCCTTAAACTCTCACAGATCGATCTCACTCAATCACTCATCATGCAGATGCAAATTTAATCATAAAGATTCTAGTTTTGAACTTGGCTCACATAGTGCTTGGCTTTCAGTGCACTCTATGGTTCATATAGAACCTCTTCAATAATCCCATGTGTTGAGCCTAGCCAATTTTTGGTTCAGGCCTTGGACTCACCCTTCTAATACCAATCAAACTCATTGCTTATTATTTCCAAAAGCATTTTGCAAACCAAACACCCTTGGGAGAATTGTAATATGTTATAAAATGAAATAGAATCCAATAATTTTTTTAAATGAAAGTCGCGTACATAAAATACACATGTATTTATATGCATACATACACGTATTTCTATCTATATGCATAAATGCATACATACATGTATCTATATGCATACATACATCTAGTTCTATCTATTTATGTATGTATACATGTGCATGTATGTATAGATATATGTGTGTATAATTGCAAACTAAAAAAACAATGGGAACACCAAACAAGATAACATCTATGTACAACCTATGCAATTCGTGTCTGAGCGTTATGTTGCTGGCTTTCATTGTATATGTATAAAATTTATGTCAAATTAGTTTTCATAAAAGGTACCATCTTCACTATGGACCTCTTACAATTCAGGTTTTCAATAGATTCTTTAAAGGTATTATTGATGCCATTATATATGTTACAACTCAAAACATTTCAACTTAGGTTTGTTTTTTAGGATATGATTCTGATTAGGATTCAACGTGTTTAAGATTGTTAGTTTAACTGGATCCGATTGCTTGTTTTCGTTTTCAGGTACATAAGTTCTCCTATCTTTAATTAAAATTTTCATTACTTGCTTCGTGGAAAATATTTCACAAACAAACAAACATGCAATGCAATGCAAGGCCACCGGAAAACATACCTTATAAAGTTTGATTTCTTCATCCGGACTAAATCCAACCGTCTCATTTAATTAGGCCACTGAAAGATATAAGTAACCCCTTCCCATTAGGGCATTGACAGATATAATTAACATGTTGAAAGTACCAATCATGCAAAGTGACTCAACATCTTTCTCCCTCACATAGGTTTCTACATGAAAATAGGAAAGTATTAGGGGCACTCATAGTAAAGAGGATCTCAAATCAATTTACTTACATATTTCCTTCATATTTTAAAGTGCTAGTTTTAGATTCATGTGGCATAAAAATTAAAAAGACCCTTCCACAAACTAATTAGTTGTAGTTTGTTGATCAAACTTTTCTTTCATCACAGATATAAATTGACATACATGAAGGCCATAACTGATTGGGGCAGTTTGTCAAACACGTGGAAGACCCTTACACAAACTAATTAGTTGTATGGGCTCACGAGGATGTATTTTGTTGGTGTGATGGTTCAGTTGATTCTTGTTACAACACATGCAATATGCCTCATATGTGCTATTGCAGTATCTGCTACAATAAAGAATTTGACCCAAGCAATTAGAGGAAAATCCACTCAAACCATGTCTTCTAAGGGAACAGGAAGCATAAAGGGATTATCTAAGGTGAGAATCTTTTTACATTTTGATCGTGGATAATAATACGTGGAACAATACACCTATTTCTACAGTGGGAAGGGAAGTATCGTTATATGAGGATAAAGCTTACAAGATTATGAGATCTACACGAAAATTGAAAGTATGCAGCTACGAAAGAACCTCATTTGTAAAAATCCACAAAACCAAGGACGCCAAACATACCAGGATCCAAACCTACCTAGAACCCCAAAGAACCTTAAGCTAATTACCTGAGATATTTGACATGAGGAGTTCAATTTATTTATTAATCACCCACCAAAAATAGATAGGGATCAATTTTGAAAAATATATAAGATAAAATAAATGGAGACGTCGCCATGGAGGATAATAGTTTTAGAGAGAGAGAGAGATGTTTCCATGAAAAATATATTGACTAAAACAACCATTATCTAATTTTTATCATGAGACAACTAGTAAGCTTCAGGATTTTTCAGAAATTATGGAGGAGTGAGGATAGAAGAACGAAAACATTAGGAAGAGAGAAAAAAACAAAACATACCTTAGTCGAACTAGGGCATGTAAATTTGAGCAATCATATTATCTCCGACGAGGTCAGGTGTCAGGTCTCCGACGAGGAGAAAGTGAGCATGATGTCACCGGAGGAGAGGTAACCAAATAGGTTGTCCAATGGACAGACGAATCTTTGATTGTATGAATGCTTTGGCATCTTCCCTTAATAGTTGTGTGTAATGAGTCAAATAGAGTTCTTGTATGCCAAAACTCTAAATGGATGTGAGATTAAAGAAGAAAAGCGTACGAGAAGGAAGTGTTTTTGAAACTCTTCTTGATGAAAATCACGACCTTAGTTGCTGGTCGTCATTTTGTGATCTTCAGGGATGAACCCGAGTTTTTATGAAAAAAAATTATAGAACAATTATAAGAGTTGTCGAGGTGTATAGCTAAGATGGTATCGTGATTAGGGTTTGCAGAGAGAAGAGAAAAAGAGAACGAATGGAAATCTTGAAGCGGGGTATTTAAAAATTTTAAGAATGTGCGTTTTGAGTAAAAATGATAAAGCGACATTGACAGAGGATGCACAAGTGCCCTCCCTGTTTTTAATTTTTTTTACATAAGACACTAATTTAAGGGCACGCAATAATGCGTGACCTAAATCCTTAAATTTTTTGAAGAGATGACACTTTTTTAATGTCACTTTCATTTGCATAACCTAAATAAATGAGTGTCATCATTTGCACGTCGTAAAATGGTCTTTTTCTTGTAGTGGGACACTCTCATATCCTATACCTACTTGTTTTTGGTCCTTCCACTGCATTTGTTTTTCAATTATTGTTGAAAATTTTTCACTTGACACATCGTATTTCTTGAAATTAAAGTCAGCATTTTGAAAATGGATTTTCAATGTTTCAAGTTCTTCAGTTACTGCAGCAAGTTGTTTCTAAATGAAATTGTAATTCTCACACTTGTTGTTGTAATATTCCTACAACCACCTAAAATCCCTAGTCTTGGCCTCTAATTGTTCTTTTAATGGTCTCTGGCCTTTCCTAAGGTTCTATCCCTCATACTTAAGATCCCCGTTCTTTGTTTTAGTTAATTCAATTTGATCATGCAAGAATTTCAAAGTATCAACACAAGTTTGAGAGCAAGAATTTTGACCGACCTCCCTTTTCTCTAGCTCCGGGGTAGTCTGTACCATGAAAGCAAATTGTAGTTCCATCATTTCTTCCTCTGGGTCCACTTCATCTTTTTCTTCATGGAAATCATTGATCTGAGCAAGATGAGCATTTTCAGGTCCTGAGATGTTCAGAGCCTAAATCTCATCTTCCTAGTCAAATGACCGAGCCACCACTGCAAGATTCGCTGTCTGATGGTTGGTGGTAGCTCCCTGGCATTTTCCTATGGGCACCATGGTTCTTTCACTATTTTCCCTCCTGCCTGGATTTGGGCATTCTCTGGAAAAGTGACCAGGTTCATGGCAGTTGAAGCATCTTAGTTTGCCCTTGTTGAAACTGACCTTCTTTTTCGTGTTTATTCCCCAGTTGTTGTTGCATGTTTTCTTTGCGAATTGTT